TGAGAAAATTTTAAAATTATTAATTATTTTATATTAATATTATCAATCATATATATAAATCATTTGCTTACAATCATAAAATTTTTTTTAAAAAACAAAATTAATTATTTTGTAGGCAAAATCACATTTGGAAATAAGTAGTCGATGGGGAGATATAGTTAGATGTTTTGGTTTAACTTATGAGTCATCGAAAGGTTACATGCTTGTAATGATTAGGATGGATATAGATTTAAGAAAATATTTACAACAAAGGCATAATCAAATTGAATGGAAAGAAAGAATTCAAATTACGTTTAATATCGTTAAAGCACTTTTCCGAATTCATCATGAAGATGCTATTCATAGAGATTTACATTCTGGGAATATATTACATTCTCCGAGAACTTATGGATGGTATATTAGTGATCTTGGATTTTATGGCCCTGCAGACAAGCCTTTAAATAGCATTTATGGAAACCTTCCTTACATAGCACCAGAAGTTCTTTCTGGAAAAGAATATACTAAAGCATCGGATATTTTTAGTGTTGGCATGCTAATGTGGGAAATTGCATTTGGACAACAACCTTTTATTGAACATTATCATGATTATGATCTTGTGATGAAAATAATCAATGGAATGAGACCGAAAATTTTATCAAAGATTCCTTTAAAATATAAAACATTAATGGAAGAATGTTGGGATGCTGATCCATTAAAAAGGCCCGATATTTTAAATCTTTATAAAGTAATTACTGAAATAAGAAAAACATATCTTCAAGATCCACCGAATGAGTCAAGTAGTATATTTAAAAAAGTTACCAAGTTTTTTCAAAGAGAAAAAAAAGATAGCTTCTTTGAAAAAAGATCTAACAGCGGCAGTGTTATTAGCAATAATGAACTTTATACAACAAATCTGTTTACAAGTAAAATTTATCGAACAAATTTAATAGATCAAAATGTTATAGAAGGTATGATTAAATAAAATATTCCGTCATGTTAAACGTAATTTTTTTTATAAACAATTAATATCGTTTTTTTAATGAATAACATAGGAGATCAAGAAGGTATAGTTATTAAATTTGATGCGCTTATTGAATTTTAAGTATTTGAATAATTTATTTTTTTTACATGTATTCGGAAAGGAAATCACAGCAAACCTCATAATTTTAATATTCCAGCTGATAGTAAGTATTTATCAAAAAATAAAAATTTTTCATTTATTTTACGGTGAAAATTTTTAATCATTTTTTTTCTTTTTTAGTAAATGATATTGTAGATGCTCAAGCAACAAGTCTAAAGGTAAACAATTTATTATAAGATTTATAATTTTTAGAAGCAAAAATTAATTAATTATCCAAAAAATAGAGCGAATGAAATGATAAAAAATTTAAATGATTGTAAGCAAATGATTTATATATATGATTGATAATATTAATATAAAATAATTAATAATTTTAAAATTTTCTCA